GATGTCCATTACCATCTTATAGCTTTCCTAAGTGACTTTACAGAACATTACAATATAGTCATCAAAATGGAGATGAGAAAAATAATTCATAATTTTTAGGAATAATTACATTTTACCTTTTGTAGTTTCACTTATTTATATATTACCTCTCTGACTTTTATAAATGTATTTATAAACCATATGTGGTTTTGAATAATGTGTAAAAGTGACATTTTTTGCTAGACTTAGGCCCCGTTTGGGGACTTACCTTTTTAGCCAAAAAGTCAAAAAGTTACCTTTTTAGCCAAAAGCCAACAACTCATATAAAAAAGTCAAAGATTCTCTTTTCTCTCTACTTTTTGCACATCTTTTCGTAATTAGCCAAAAAATTATCCCAAACATATAAATTTTTTTTACTTACTTTTTTAGCCAAATAGCCAAAAAGTTACTAAATTAGTCTGTTCCCAAACGAGGCCTAAAAAGTGTGTGGATTAATGTGTCAGAAAAGCGTGTTTGCACTAGGATTAAGGCCTCATTTGGGAACAGACTAATTTAGTAACTTTTTAGCTATTTGGCTAAAAAAGTAAGTAAAAAAAATTTATATGTTTGGGATAATTTTTTGGCTAATTACGAAAAGATGTGCAAAAAGTAGAGAGAAAAGAGAATCTTTGACTTTTTTATATGAGTTGTTGGCTTTTTGGCTAAAAGGGTAACTTTTTGGCTTTTTGGCTAAAAAGATAAGTCCCCAAACGGGGCCTAAGTGGTTGGTGCCAAAATTGAGACTTTAATTGACTAATTTGCCCTTCTAATCTCTTGGCACTTGATATCTATATGACCACTCTCTCTCTCTCTCTCTCCCCTACCCAAGTTTTAGGTTGGGGAGTGCCAAGTAAAACGCATCCTAATAGACCAAGGCAGCTCCTGTGACATCATGTTGTGGGTCTAAGGTATGTAACTTATACTTTGAGTATTCAATTTAGTACTTGATTATCTTTGAGAGATATACTGACTTGATCGTCGGAGTGCCCCCGGGTGGAAGATCCACCGCCGGAGCTTTTTCTTTCTGTTTCAGGTTACTTTAGCCAGCTATTCTGCTTGTGCTCTCCAGCTGATCACTAAACGGGCAGTGTGGTCAGATTTTCACCCACACACAATCAAACACAACTTAAGAGTTAATGATTGAGTCACCTCTAAGTAGGAATGACAGCAGGCCAAGATGGGGCTAGGTATTACATTCATCGTCCCCAATCCCTAAAGGTAAAAAAATTCCCGTCCCGCCACCGATTCCCGGCGAGGAACCCATCACCTCACATCATCCCCCACCCCCTAGCAGGGATCGGGTTTCCCCGACCCCTGAAAATTCCCGCAGCTCTTTCTCTCTCTGTTTAGCTTTCTCTCTCAATCATAAATCATCCCCCACCCCCTAGCAGGGATCGGGTTTCCCCGACCCCTGAAAATTCCTGCAGCTCTTTCTCTCTCTGTTTAGCTTTCTCTCTCAATCATAAATCATCCCCCACCCCCTAGCAGGGATCGGGTTTCCCCGACCCCTGAAAATCCCCGCAGCTCTTTCTCTCTCTGTTTAGCTTTCTCTCTCAATCATAAATCATCAACAACAACATATTTTCATCAACAACAACATCATCAGCGGCAACATCATCAACAACAACATCATTTTCATCAATAACAACAACATCAACAACAAAAAAAAAAATGGAGATAGATCGCGATAAATAGACACACACACACACATATATGTATACATGCACAAATCTACTCAGATCTACCGTGTATGAAGGTTCGACAGTGGTGCGAGGAATGAGGAGGCGACGGGGTCACGGGGGACTGCGTACTGTCGTTGAGGAGGAGCGACGCCATCACCAACTGCAGAGAGAAGAGAGAGTGAGAGAGAGCTTTCGCGGACTACGGAGAGAAGAGAGAATGAGAGAAGAGACAATGAGAGAAAGCCGTCGCCACTGCAGAATGAGAGAGAGTAGAGGATAGAGAGAGAGAGTGAGAGACAGATCAGGAAGAGAAACATATGAGGGTTATATTATTATTATATCTATATATATATATATATATATGAATAGATAGAGGGGCATTATAGTAATTTTATGTCGGGAAGAGAACGGGGCCGAGTCCAGGCCTGTGAAAGCTATCCCCGTCCCCGGTCTGAAACTGATCGGAGATTCAATTTTAAATACCATCCCCGACCCGTGGGGAGTATTTTTCGGAGAAAAACCATTTTAATCGGGGAAGGGGGGTCGGGTCCCCGTCGGGCCGTGTTCAAATTGTCGTCCCTATCTAGATTGATGTTGAGAGACCTTAGATATTATTAAGTATTGAAGGTCCTTTACAGTTATGGTGGCGAACTGGTTGACCCACCACCAACCGGAACTGATTTTCACGGCCTCCGAGGCTCTTAACGAAACCCGATCGATTCGTTTCTCCTACTCCCTCTGATCGGTGAGTAGGTGTGTGATTGCAGTAGATTTCATAGAGAGAGAGAGAGAAAAAGAGAGAGAGCGAGCATTACCCAGATAAGAAATGAATGAGATTAGGGGTGAAATCGGTTCAGTTCGATCAGTTTTTTCACTAGTTTTGCACCAAACCGATCATTTCGGTTTTTCATATTTGTGAACCGCACCGCCAGAAAAATAACATAAACCGGTGCGGTTTTTTCGATTTTTCGATTTTTTGATTTTTTGGCCTCTTTTTTTTCCCTAGTTGGGCCTCACATTTTGGGCCTATATTTCTATCCATTTTGCATAAAATTTGGGCTCAAGCCATGTAATTCCTACATAGGTTTGGGGCCTCACATTTTGGGCCTATTAATATTATATAAGTCGGTTCGGTTCGGTGCGGTTCAGTTCAAAAAATCAAAAATCGTAAACCGAACCGAATGTACAGAAAAACATAAACCGAACCGAACCGAACGATTGAAAACTTAAAACACCGACCGAAAACCGTTCGGTTCGGTCGGTCCTTCCGGTTATTCTTTCACCCCTAAATGAGATGGGTTTGTAGATTGGATGCATTTCATATCTATATAATATATGAAATGACATTCATAAGAAAATTGAAGAAAAAAATAAGAATATTTTAGTTTTTTCATTAATTCTGTCACGTCCCATTACTTTTATACATCACTCAAAATTATAGGGAGCTTATGAGTATATTTATAAAAGTTAAGGATGTAATATGTAATGCACAAAACCACAGAAGTAAAATGTAATTATTCCAAATTTTTATAGGCTTTAAAACATTTTCATTCATTGGATTTGGGTGGTCAAAGTTTAGAACGAGAAAATCAATTTTTATTTATTTATTATTTTAAGATTGTTTTGAAAAGTGAATTATAAATTAAAAAAATGATAGGATTCAAATAATTCAATGAACTGATATATAAACATAGTCGGAGTGATCTTCCTTGGGTCGAATAGAAATCGAGAGATTAAAGAGAGGCTCTATCTAAGTGTACAATTGGGTGCAAATCACATTTGAGTCATTTCAATTGGGAAATTTTACTATGCACAACTCTTATGGTATGCATCCTTTCGTTTTGTCATTTTTTTTTATTACGATTAATTTTTTTCTTTAATTATAATCTTGTTTTAATTATAACTCATGATCTTTGTTTATGTCTTATGTTTTGTTTGGTTATGACTATTTTTTTCTTCTAATTATAATTCAAAAAAGTATAAAATCATACCATTTTCTTTTTTAATTATAAGGTGCATACGATACACATTATTTGAGAGATGTGTATCATAATCTTTCTCTATTTCAATAAATAAAAAGATTTTGGCTTTATTTAGGAAGACAATTGGGCTAAAATAGCTAACTAAAAGACAAAATAGACTAAAATAGATAATAAGACAAAATATCACATCTAACCCATAATTATTTCACTTTTTTCTCACAACCATCAAATTAATTTAAAAAAAAAAAAAAAAGAGTCAACCAACCTTCTAAACAAGAATCAGGATGCTCTCATTGACTTTCCTTATTGACTTCTTACTTGTTGGGCCATTGAGCCCACTTTTAGGCCCAATTTCGATAATTTGAACCGTTCACATTTTAAGATTTGTTAAGTATATTAAACTTATAAAAAATCAAATTGATCAGATATTAGAAAACATATGTTCGGAAAACTGTTTATTAATTATTTTTAAAAAATGATTTTTAGTTTGATGATCCGAACACATGCTTTCTAATATTTGATCAATTTAATTTTTTACAGGTATGATATACTCAACAAATCTTAAAATGTGAACGGTTTAAATCATCGAAATTAGACTTAAAAATAAGCCCAATGACCCAGCAAGTATGAAGTTAAGGAGAAAAGTTAAGAAGAAGATCTTGATTCCCTAAATAAGGTCTTTTAAGTTTGGAAAAGTTTATTTAGCTATCAAAAAAAAATAATATATAACTGCCATTAAAATAAAATGAAATAAAATAAAACTTTTATAAAATATGTTAGACATATCTAAAAAAAATTAATTATTATTATCTTACAAAAGTAAAAAAGTAAAAAAAAAAATTACGGAACTTGTGCAATTTTTGCATAGCCATGTAGTGGGTGCTTAAAATAATTATAAAAAAAAAAAAGGGAAAAAAAATATTAGAGGTCTTAAAATTTCTATCAAATATTTTATCAAATATCTCAAATGAATATGAACCTCACACTTATATGGATTCATCACATATAAAATATTTGATAAAAAATTTAATATCACTAACATTAAAAAATAAAAAAAATAAAAATAAAATAAAAATAAAAATTAGCATAAAGGATAGTGTTTGGGATAGATGGGAGGAAAAAGCGACAATATAATGAGTAATTTTATAAATAATTAAAAAAATAAATAAATAATTACTACATCTTTTAAAATTTTATTAGTTGGACAAATCACATCAATATGAACATAATGATGGGGTATAACTGAGCTATTGAGTATTTCTCCCACTGTACCCTTTGGATTATGCCATAAAGCACAGGATAATTTCTTATAAAAGGAGCAACTCATAGAGAGCCAAGCCAAGTGAACTACAAGTGAAGCAAGCAAACAAAAGCCTACAGCTTCTCAGTTCTATCTCATAGTCAGAAATTGGAAGATGGTGAACACTATGGCATTCATGGGGCATCAATGGGCTCAACAGCATCAAGCAGGAGCTGGAATGAGCCAAATAGGCTTCGCCATGGCCATCGCCGCCTCTATGGTGGTTATGACCATGTTTCAACAATTTCTCACAACCCAACTCAGAGGCTATGTTGAGAAATGGATTCACAAACTGGTTAATTCCGTGAACCCTTTTGTCAAAATCAAATTCCATGAAGATACCTTCACCGGCGGACCCAAAAACCACGAAGCTTTCTCCGCCATCGAGACCTACCTCAGCGACCACTGTGCCTCTCAAGCCCCTCGCCTCAAGGCCAACGCTGTTCGCGACATCCAAACTCCTGTCCTCTGTGTCGACGACGGCGTCGAGGTCTCCGACGACTTCGAAGGCATCAAGGTTTCTTGGAATCTCATCGTCGAGAGCGAAAAAAATGATTCCTTCCGCGGCGGCTCGAAGAAGAACAAGCACTATTCGCTTAATTTTCGGAAAATGAACCGTGAAATCGTCGTCGGGAAGTACTTGAAGCATGTTATGGAAAAGGGGAAAGCTGCGGCGGCTAGAAATCGGCAGAGGAAACTGTATTCCAATAGTTCTAGTGAGCATGGAACTTACTGGAACTATATCATGGAATTCGATCATCCCGCCTCGTTCGATACTATTGCCATGGAGGAGAGCAAGAAGCAGAACATTATCGCTGATCTGAGATCGTTTTCTGAATCGAGAGACTACTATCGGAGAATTGGAAAGCCCTGGAAAAGAGGGTACCTTCTGCACGGACCTCCCGGAACCGGGAAGTCCACGATGATTGCAGCGATGGCGAATGAGTTGAATTACGATGTGTACGACCTCGAATTGACTGCGGTTACAAGCAACGCTAACCTGAAGAAGCTGTTGAACAGAACCCCCTGCAATTCTATTCTTGTGATTGAAGACATTGATTGCTCGAGCGACATTTCGGGTCTGAGGGAGAAGAAACTGAACGATGACAAGGACAAGGACAAGGAAAAGGTCAAGTTCGAGAAAGTGACGCTCTCTGCGCTTCTGAATTGCATCGATGGACTATTCTCGGCGAACGAGGGTGGGAGAGTGATGGTATTCACGACGAATCACGTCGAGAAGCTCGACCCGGCACTCATTCGGAGGGGAAGAATGGACAAGCACATTGAGTTGTCATTTTGTAGGTTTGAAGCTTTCAAGGTTTTGGCAAAAAACTATTTGGGTATTGAGAATCATGAATTGTTTCCCCAAATTGAACGGTTGTTGAAGCAGACCGACATTACTCCGGCCGATGTGGCGGAGAATTTGATTACGAAGAACGCCGATGAGGGTTCTGCTCGTGCTTGCTTGCGGACATTGATCGATGTTTTAGAGAAGAAATTGGAGGAAGATAAAGTGAAGTTGTTGAAGGCTGAAGAGAAAGCAGAGCTGGTGGAGCCACCCAAGATAGCAGTGAAAGAGAATGGAACATGTATCAAGGAGAATGGGCATGTGCTATTAAGTGTTCAAGTGTAATTGTTCTATTATGTGCTAGTGATCTAGCGGGTTTGGAATTCTCAGTTTACTGCGTTTGTTGTAGCAGTGCTATGTTTATCAATGAAATAAGATGTTCTGTTTTGTTCTCTGCTCTTTACTGTGTACATCTTTATGTTTTAGATCATGAGTGACCCAATCACATTACGCCTCTGTTTGCAAACTTTTTCTGATCCCATTGATGCGTTTGGTTCCGGAGAAAGTAGTCGTTGATGAGAAAGTGCGAGGAAAAAGTAGAAAGGGACAAATAATTGAAATACTGTTGATATTCGGGAAGTGAATTTTTATGTATATTTTTTTAGTTGTAAGATATTATTGGAGAAAAAAAATTTGTGTTTGGAAAGATAGTTGGGTTTTTTTGTGATTGGATCTGATGTTTGTGAGAGAAAAAGTGAAATGATTATGAGGTTGGATGTGATATTTTGTTTGGATTTGTTTTTTTTTTTTGGTTTTGTAAAAACTTTGTCTTTTAGTAGAAAAAAATCCAAAAAAAATTCTTGCCAAACACCGCCTTGGCTTTTTTAGTTACTTTTTGACTTTTTTAGCCTGAGACTTTTTTAGTTGTTTGGTATTCTTGTTTGGTTTTTTTGACTTTTTGATTTTGGAATAACAAAATTGCCATCTGCTTAGAAATGATATTTTTTTGACTTTTTATTTATATATGGGTCCAATTAGTAATTTTGTAACTTTTTTGTCTTTTTGTGATTTTATAACTTTTTTTTTTTTGTCTTTTGTGATTATATAGCCAAAATGATTTGCCAAACCAAGGCTGAGTCGTGGGAAATTCTATTTCCACACATCTACTTACCTTAGTGTACACAATTTCTCAGTGTATACACTTATTAATTTTATTATTAATTATTTTTCTCAATCCACACTCTAAATATTTCAATTATACCCTTCTCTCATACAATTGTACACACACCACTCCAATCCTCATTCCACACACTTGTTGAAAATTGTAGACCACTACTACGGTTCCATTCCAAACAAAGAAGACTCTGTCAAAGTGCACAATCCACAGTTCTCCATTGAAGACCACAGTCCTCTTCTTCAATCTCCAATCGATCCATAGTAATCACATTGGCTGGAGAACCATCGTCGGAGATCCAAATCAAGGTACCCTCATGGCGGAGCAACAACGTGATCCACCCTGCCGATGTAGAGACTTCGCCGCCGCCTCCTCATCCTCCAACCGCAGCGGTGACGACGACGACAACTTAGTATTTGATAATGTACCAAGCAATCAAAGAAGTGATTTTCATGGTTGAACTTGAATACTGAGTTTCGTCTAGTTTCAGATAGAGAGATGTGATATATGATGGTATGAAGCTTTGTTCATGGCAGTTACTAGCATATACTCATAGCCCAAAGGTTTGGAGGTTTTGAAGCTTTAAAAGACAGAAACTGATTCCTCTGTGTCATTAATTTTCTATTATGTTAGCTAATGAACTTAATGCAAGGCTAAAAACTAAGTAATCTGAAGCCAGTATCTTTCTTTGTTCTTCACAAATTGCCCTGTTCTTCACAAGGTGTGGATTGAGATTTTTTTTATTTTTAAAATATGTGTACAGAGAATATTTTCTTCGACTTTCTTTCTAAAGATCTTCTTAAGTGTCCGGCATTTTTCTGTAGGATGTCCTAGTGATCGATGGAAAACACAATAATTAGGACCCTCGCGGTCCTTCTTCGGCAAAAGCTCTTCGATATGAGGCAACTTCAGTTCTCCGTCTGCCACCTATTCTTTAACTAAGGCCTTCACCTCCTCAACACTGCACGGAAAAAGAGTGTCATCTTCACAGTTTTTTCTTTTCTGACCTCTGAATTCCTCCCCTTGCGACTTTCGTGTAGAAGACGCGGAAGCCGCAGTGACAGAAGGTCATCGGGATGACTTGAAGCTAGTTTTATAACTAGTCTCGAACCCGATCTCCCGAGATTGAGGTACGTTGATGTTTCGAGATGCTTCAATTAGTGCCGAGAATGTGGGTAGCTTGTGATTAACAAGAAGCATCTTGTACTCGTTTAATGCCCCTTCAACACAGATTTGGACCGAGTAGCTTTCCTCCACAACCTCATGACAATCCACGGCTTTGTCTTGGAACCTCTTCACATATTCGAGAATGTCTTCACCCTTCTGCTGCTTTTCCTTACACAGGGTAAGTGTGGTCACTTTCTCCGCCACTTGAAAGAACTTGGAGTGGAATTTGTTAACCATTTCCTCCCAACTTCGGACAGAGTTTGGGGCCAAATTAACATACCAACTATATGCTCGGTCAGTGAGGGACTTAGAGAATTCTCTCAGCCGGAGGACGTGGTTTGAACCATGAATACCCAGAGTCTCGATGAATCACATAACATGTTCTCGAGCATTTCCTTGTTTGCCATCGAATTTGATGAACTTCAGCACTGTATACCCCTCGGGGTATGGATAGCTCAGCACCTCAATTGGGTAAGGCGGCTTGACATCCGGATCAGGCAAAGCAGGTAAAGTTCTCTTGCCCCGTTCGAGATCGAACATGGCTTGTACATCGGCAAGAGTGAGAAACTGTTGAGGGCGAGAGTTTGATGGTAGTACTCCCGGAACTTGGCTTATAGACTCGAAGATTGAGCTAGGGGCGACTTGGCCATTCTGGTGCTGCGAATTCATCATTGGTGAGGACATTTGACGATACTGGCCATCAGCGCCTATAGACAAGCCAGTTGGTGATGGGACATTGAATTGAGGCCCGTAAAGTCCACCGCATGGCACCGCTATACCGGGTTGTGCTTGCAAATTTGTTGTCTGCACCAAATGAGGCCCGCTTGGTGCTTGAATAACATTTACTGGTGGCATAACAAGATTAGGTACGGGCAGAGCTCCATTTTGCGCCATCATGCCCCTTATATTTGCCTGGACACCAACAATCGCGCGAAGCGCCATTCATTACATCAAAACCTCCCCTAGTCACCATTAGATCTTGGCTTGGCACGCCATGGAGCCTGGGCATAGGCAAACTGTTGCCGCCTACTGTGGTTTGAGCATGTGTTACTGCTGCTGTGTTGCCATGAGCCATAGGCTGACTGAGGCCTACTTCTCCTTGAATTTGATTTTGCACTCCGACGGGAATAGGTCCACCACCAGTTTGATTTCTGTTTGGCGCCGGTGCAAAATTAGAACTCATCACCAACATGGTGTGAGTGAGATTCTAAAGAGTGGTAAGAATCTCCTGCTGCGTATTTTGAAGTCCTTGAATGGCTTCGAGCAAAAGTGGTTGATCTGGAGCCATGGTTCTGTCATCACCACCATTAGAGGATCATTGTTGGTGAACTTCATTTTCTCCCGCCATCCTTGTTGGAGTTGTGTGGATTCTAGATCTTGTTGAGACCATTAACCAATCTGCCTCCCCAGCAGAGTCACCAAATGTATAAGAGGGTTCAAGAACGTCGTTGGAAAATTCGAAGATCTTCGAAGATCCTTGAAGAACAACTTCGAATTCTCTAGAAGATGATAAGAGGCTTAGATTCTTCTATAGTCTCAACTTAAGAACACAAAAAGTAAAGGAGATGATGGAGATAAGAGATTGGGTGAAGAAGAAGGCAAAGTAGCTAGAGAGAGAATAATAACAAGGCTCTCCCATAGATCTCCCACTTTCACTCTCAAGGTTGATAATGGAGGAGGGAAATTAGTTCTTTCCCAAGAGTTAATTCTCCAAAATCCATCCCCTTGTAAAGCTATGGGTGGATGCTATTTATAGGCACCTCATGATGTAGGATGGAGCCCATGTGCAAGGCCCATAGAGAATATTCTCTCTAACCACCTTGTCCGAGGAGATGACCTCTCCGAGGATGAGGAAAACCTCGAAGAGGAGATCAACCTCTCGGCGAACCCTTCTTCTTAGCCACACCTAACCAATGATCCCCTATCATCCCAAAGGGTCAGGGGTAATCCCAGAGGACGTCCTGCCGCAAATATTGCCGAGTCTCAAGGATCCCTAGATCGTGCCATCTCGACCTGGGTATAGGCTAATTTAACCGAAAAGTGAATTTATCTCCACTCATCGTCCTCGAGATCGGGTCCTTTGTTCGAACTCCATTACGCCCATGGTTCTGGTGCGTAGATCCCGGAAAGCTCTAAGCCCGCAAGTGTTCTGGGACTCATTAACGGAACAACTTCTAGATTACATCTGAATCCGTTCGAAGCCAAGTGCTTCGGATCTCTAGATTCGTGGATCTGAACCCTTTCGAGTCCAAGTGCCTTGAATCTCTAGGCTTGCTCAATACCCTTTCGAGTCCGGGCCCAAGTAAGTCTCTAAGTTTGTGGATCCGAAGGCTTAGAACGATTTGACCCGTTTAATGGCGATAAAATCCGGGCCCACTAATATTGGACTTGTGAGAAATTCGGGTCCATCATCCTTGGACTATTGGGCCTAATTAATTTAGTGGGCTCAAATTAGCTCCTCTTACACTAATAACTTTCATGGTAAGGCCATCTCTAACGGTTCATCAAACCTTGCATCAGATTTGAAATTTGGTAAAAAAGTCACTTTTTAGAGCTTCAATGGTTTCAGCAAATTGGTATCAATTGAGAAAATATGAAAGGTTTCACCAAACTGAGGACGGCTTGCTCCTTTCATCAATTCACTGTGCCTAGCCGTTAAGGCAGAAATTTGTGAAAATTTTACACTAAGTGGTCGACCACCTTGTCGACCCCCTGGTCGACCACCAAATTGACCAACCGGTCGACCAGCTCATGCAAAGATTGGCCTACGAATTGGTTCAAATTACTGATTCAAGCAATTCAAAAAAGATTATAAAAAAAAAATTGACCTTACCGATCGACCACTTCCCTTTTGATGCACGATTGAAGCAAATCATTTAAGATTAAGAAAATTAATTTTTTTTATCCAAATATAATAAAAAATTTAATTCACCTTTGGAGATGTACTAATTCTTGACATTAGGTATCCGTCTTCTTTTTGTGGGGTGATGCTATGGTACATTTAGGTGTACCGTACATTTAGTTATGAACTTATATGATTTTATATCATAATCTATACCATATTAGTCATAACTATACCATATTACCTCATAACTTAGTTATATTCAATTATTTACTT